GGTCCGACTCTACACCACATAACAACAACAACATGCTGAAATTAGTATATAATTCTCCAGTATACTTTGTAAGTATAATTTTACCACATTTATTACATATGTATAAAGCATATAATTTATAAGTTTAACTATATAGTTATATCTCACACATAGACCCAGTCATATAGCCACATCTATTACTGTTTTAAGTGTTGAAAAATTCTCACTCTTTTGGTCTTAAGCTTACACTGTTGTAACGCATCAGTTTCAGTGTCTATGTCTCTAATCCTTTTGAATTGCAGGATTACATTCCACTGCGTGAATGCATCAACACATCCTCTCCATGGAGCTTGTTACAAGCATGGCGTGTCTGCATTTGTCCATCTTCTCTCGTCATTTCCTGTTTGGACCCCCCATTTCCCCTCCCTCATGTGTCCTTTATGCTGTAACATGAGCTGCACTTGTTCCTCCTCTGTCTTTGTCTCTGTTGCCAGCTCATCTCTCACCCGGTCTGTCTCTCACCATGAAAGCCCTGTTCTCATCTCTCTCACCAGCACCTAAGACTTCCAATCCTTAGAACATCCAAGCCATGTCTTAAAGAGGACAGGAGTAGTGATGAAAGATCTAGGAATGCTCACCTGTGACTATGACCTCCAGGGGGTCACTGGGGGCCGACCAGTTGTAGAGGGAGTGCCTGAGAGAACCGTAGCATCTGTAGGTCCCCGCATGGGCTGACGTCATAGCACCCAAGGAGAAGTCAGCCTGAGAGCTGCCACCATGGAATCTCTCAACAAGGCTCAAGGGGTCCTTGGGTTCCTCCTCTTTGTGGAGTATGTAGGTGTCAAACATGACCTCTGAGCAGCACCGCAGGGTCACATTCTCTCCCAGTTTCACCAAGGGACCAGGCTGGGCCGAGAGGGAGGGTTCTCTGTACAGACCTAAGAGCAAAGAGGCTATGAGTTTAAAAAGAGTAACCCTTCCTCAGCCCTCTCCATAGCATCTGAAATACTGAGGGTCACCCCCATGACCATCTCTCTCCTCCATCTCTGGGTCTCTGTGAATGTTTTTTTTTTTTCCTCCTTCTTCTATCTCATATGTTCACTTGATCCTCATTATTTGTGGAATTAAAGCTGTGAATTCACCTCCTCACTAAAATTTACATGTGATCCCAGATCACTATTGTGGCTCTCATGGTCCTCTGCAGACCTGCACAGACGGGCACATTTGTGTCCCTCGTCAAGCAAGTCTGAGTCATTGTCAAACTCAGCTTCACTGAAAGCAAACTCTGTCTTCCTCCTTTGTTCTTTCTTTCTTTTTTTTTTTAACTTATTTTGTTGATGTTGTTGAGACTGTACTTGGCAAAACATACAGTAATTCTACGTTTCCCCACGCACCCTGAGTGACTCTGATGACATTTTTCTGGGTGCGCCCTTCCCACCCTCCTTTTCTGGGTTGTCCTCCCCCATTAACATAAACCCACTGCCCCCTAAGTTTCCTGTCTAATCATTCAACTTGCTTTGGTCTCTTTGATCTCATGTAGATAGTTCATAACAGAGCCCAATGCTCAAGGCAGACTGATTTTTTTACTGGTTTAGCTAAGCAATTATTTTAGTTTTAAGAGGACTTCAAGAAATATTTTTGGTTTACATTTTATAGATTATCTTGGGGCAATAGTTTTTTGGGGTTCATAAATCACCCATGGCTACAGAAAGTCTGAAGTCCATGAAGGTTTACATTCTGTTCTGCATTGATCCCCTTTTGAAAAAGGATTGTTTGATAAAATCTTTGATCAAAATGTTCAGTAATGGTAAGTAGCCGGCACCACCAGCTCTTCTGGTCTCCTGGCAAAGGAGGCCGTTGTTCATGGCGTTAGCCCCACTCCACGTCTCCTCCTGTTCCTGACGCTCCTTCCCTGTTGCCCCAAGTGAACAGAGGCCATTGTCATGAGGCGCTGCCTTCTTGTTTCTGCACTCAGACTGTACACATGGGTGTTTCCGGTGGTGATTTTTCTGTTTAAAATGGTCGCCGAGGACAGGGCTGAAGTGCTGTCTCCTGTTGCTAAATGCAAGAAAATGCATGTGATGGACAAGCTCTGTTCAGGCATGAGCTATGGTGTTTTTGGCTGTGATTTCAAACCTTTCTCTTTTTGCATTATGCTGACACTCACCTTCCTGTCCTTTTTCAATTATAAGGGCCCTGTGATTACACTGACCCACTTGAATAATCCAGGATAATCGCCCCATCTCAAGGTCAACGAAAGCATCCTTAATTCCATCTCCAACCTCATTTTCCATTGCCATGTTCACACAGTCATAGGCTCTAGGGATTAGGACATGGCTATCACTGGGAGGGCATTCTTCTGTGTGTGACCATATTTAATTCCTTGCATTAAAACCCTGTTTACCTGAAATACCTAGAGTGATTTCTATTGTTCTCATTGGACCCTGATGGACACTCCCACTGGAAAAGTCTGGGATTAGTGGGATCCTGAAAACCCACCGTAGATGGGAGCTCTTACCTGTGACTATGATCTTCAGGGGGTCACTGGGTGCTGACCATGTAGAAGAGTGAAGAGAAAAACCATAACACCTATAGGTCCCAGCGTGGGCTGGGGTCACAGGGCCCATGAGGTACTTGTTTCCAAGCAATGCATTCTGGAGCTCAGAGACAAGAGGCCCTTCTTCCTTGTACAGCCTAAACTTGGCAAACCCAAGAGAAGAGTGACACCAAAGAGTTACATGTTGTCCTTGAGGAATGATTTGGCTTGGCCAGGCAGTCAGGGAGGGCTTGTCAGGACCTAGGTGAGAAGCAGGGACGGCCTTAGAGATGAAAATATGGCGTTTCCTCTCCCCTCACTGTGCTCACAGGCCCCTCTTTCTTTCTCATTGTCCAAAGAATCTTCCCCAAACATGAAATGCCCAAGACAACCTTAAGACTTCTTAACACCAGATAGATATGTCATATGTTCCTACAGCAAAAACGTTGATTGGGGATTTTGAGGAAGTACTTAGTAATGAACTTCTACTATGTTCATAGCACATTAGTTCTACAAAATGACACAAGGCACACAGAATAGAAGAGCCAAATGTATATGGATGAAGTAACACCAGCTGCACATGAAAATCACAGAAGAACTGAGGCTGTATCAGAATACCCCACAATTTCAGGGTCCATTGCATTGGTTCTCCCACCTCTTCTGATGGGAGGACAAAGCAGCTACACTCTGCAGCCTCTACTGCCATGGAAAAGGTACAGAGACTGACGACTCTGTTTTTCCATGCCCTTGTTCTCCCTCTCCCTCTAGAATCTCAGCTCTGAGCTTCACGGTCTCCTTCAGATGCCTCTAGAGTTGGGCTGAGCCAAGGAGAAAATTCTGGGAGGTCTTTGGAGCTGAATCAGAGCCATGAGTTTGTAGAGCCCTGACTGTCTTGCTTCAAGACACTTGGAAGGCTTCCCATAATCAAGCCATCAGCTGAACCTCCTACGTTGTCAGCCCTCCTCTTACGGGAAAAGCCTCTTATTCAGAGTTCGAAGGCAATCTAGGTTTTGGGGGAAGGACACGCTCACTTGTGCCCAGCTCCTAAGGTTCCATAAAGAACGTTAGAAAGAAAAAAAAAAAACGCATGAGGTGTGATCCATCTCCATTCGAAATGAAGCTTCCCACACCAGCCTCATCTGGTCCAAGGCAGGTATGTGCTTGGCTGAAAGTCAACTCACCTCTCAAAATCTACTCAACCCTAGGTGAGAAGTAGGAAGTGGAACTCTTTGCTGTGGAGAAACCAAGGCTTCAGACCAATATTTCCCACCATAATGCTCCCTTTCCTCATTCCTTTCCAGGACCTACCAAGACACACCAGGCTGATGAATGTGGAGGACATGGGGCAGCTTTTGCTGTGCAAGACAACCCAACCCAGTAAAACTGACACAAAGGGTGTGACAAGCAGTGCCTCAGCTGATGTAGTTTCCAAATTGACCACAACACGAAAGACTAAGAACACAGTCTGTTCTAACCTTACTTGTGGCTGGGGCTGGGGGTGAGACCAAAGAAAGAATCCAAATCCTGGAAAAGTTTTGAGTTATTGCTTTTCCTTATATACTGACTAAGGGTGCAATTGAAACCTGTGTCCAAGCCAATGGCTCATACACAGATGACCAACCCCCATTGTGGTATCTCAAGTCAGATACATGATTTGTCCTTGTTGTTATGTGCCGTTGAGTTGGACCCAACTCATAGCGACCCCTCCTTGAGTTTCCAAGGCAGTATCACTACGGAAGTAGAGTGTCCAACCTTCCTCCCGGATCAAAGTCTATACTCACCTTAAAAGTGTTTGAAGTGTTCAGTTCATTTGATCAAAGCTTTTTTTCCCCCACTTTCACTTTTCATTATGATTTGATTGAAAGTTTAAAGAGCAAATTGGTTTTCCATTGAACAGTTCATACATATTTTGTTTCATGACATTTGTTTGTAATCCTCACAGTATAACAGCTGCTTCTCACTCCTTCCTTTATTTACTATTTCCATTCGTCCTGTTTTCTGAGCTGCATTCCTGGGCAAATATTGCCCTTTCCATCTCATATTGTTCATTGTTCTGAGGATTGAGTACATCCCTGGTGTTACTGTTCACTTTATAGACCTGTCTATTGTCTGGCTGAAGGTTCAGCCATGGGGTTGAGTTCAGTTTCAGACTTGAAGGTTTATCAAGGGGCATAGTATTGGAAGTTCCATCAGTCTCTCTCAGACCAGTACGTATGACCTTTTTAATCTTTTGAATTTAGTTCCAAATGTTTCACCCACTCTTTCAAGACCTTCTATTGTGGTCCTTTTCAGAGGAGTCAGCAGGAGATAAAGTAGATGACTTATGCCTTCCAAAAATTAAACACTCGTGCCTCTCAAAAGACTTGTCCAACAGACTGAAAAGAAAAACTACAGACTGGGAAAGAAATAGTTTGCAATGATCCATCCAACAAGGGACTAATCTTTAAAATTTATAGAAACCAACACCTCGACAACCAACAGACAAACAATCCAATTGAAAAAGTGGGCAGAGCACATGGACACTTTACCAAAGAAGATGTCAGGTGGACAAGAAACAAGCGAAAGAAATGCTCACAATCATTAGTCATTGTGGTTGTTGTTATGTGCCATCAAGTCAGCCCCGACTCACAGCGACACCTCCGTGGGTTTCTGAGGCAGTATCACTACAGAAGTAGGATTACCCAACCTTCCTTCCAAGGAGTGGCTGGTGGGTTTGAACCGCCAGCCTTCTGGTGAGCAGTCAAGGGCCTTAGGCGCTATGCTACCAGAGCTCCTTCATTAGTCATTAGAGAGACCAAATCAAAGCCACAGTTAGGTAGCACCTGAGCCTTGGAAATCTTCATAATGTGTAATATACAATGTGTTTAATATACTTTTGTTGGTAATAATATAACAACGACCATAGCATTCATATCAAAGGCATTGTCCCAATCTAACTAGTATTTCTATTATCGACCAAGTACCGATTGAAAATATTTCAATTCTTCTGTCAACAGATTACATGGTTCTTTAGAATCAGCCTTTCACTTTATTAGCAAAGAGCAACACATGACTCTCTGGGTCTTGCCGTCTTGGCTGTGATTAATTCTATTCTACGAACCAGAGTTGAAAATCAAAGGTCCCTCATTCTCTCACAATTGCAGAAAATAGAAATTTTATATGACATAATACTATAGGAGATCACCTTTACGAAGCTAAATAAGAATTTCACAAAATGTGTTTTGAAAAATCCAGAACCGAGTATCTTCCATTTTGAAACCAACTTGAAAGCCCATTGACAAGCCCTGCTTACATACTCGGGAGCTCTGGTGGCATAGTGC